AACATTCGTACAAATGAACAGTCTGAAACTGCTGTGCTTCCAAGACTCAGCACGCCTACAATGTTTAACAGACGCCTGGCGTGCTGGAGGCGGGACTGGGAAATCAACTTAACTAGAAGAACGAATAACCAAGCCAAGAGGTTAATTGCTTTTCTTGATCTCCCAGAAGCTGTTAATCATCAACGCCTAGTAGCCCTTGATTTGGTGGCCAAACTGTCTATTCTGAGAAACACTGTCATAGGAACAGAGACAGATATCTTGGACTGATCCATCTGAGTGCAGGGGTTCCCAACTTTGAGTCCCCAGCTGTTCTTGGACTATAATTCCCAGAAATCATGGCCAGCACAGCTAGTGATGATGGCTTCTTGGAGGTTTAGCCCAATAACATCTAGGGACTCAAGGTTGGGAACCACGGCTCTCGCTCCTTATTGCCTACAATGACCGGTTACGCTTCCAGGGTTTCAGTGGAAATACTTTCTTTGTCCTAACTGGCAATGCTAGGGATAATTCTAAGGCAGAGCGTTTGCCTTTGGACCAAACCTCTGGGATCCAAATTTAGGGGTCCCCTCTTTCTTTTTGAAATCAACCCATACTATTGAAAGCAGAACAGTTGTTATTTGGAAAAGAGGTCATAAGGAGCCACGCCGTGTTAGATAATAATCCACAAATTTGGCCTGACTTTTGACTCACCCCATCTCTCGGGGGGGGGGGGAAACGCTCTTTGAAAGCTCATGGAAGAGCGACATTCGTGGCTTTTAAGGTTGCCTCTTGCCTTCAGCCTAATGGCAGTATCTTGGGAAGTCCAGCCAATCGCCTTTGGCAACTAAATCAGCAACCACTTTGAGGGATTAGCCATTCCTTTGTAACTCCTCGGGCCCACGCTGTGGCCTCATGAATCATGGTGGCGTTGCCTTTGGAGGTTTCGTAATAGAGGCACAGTGTGTCGTTTGTGAGGATTATTCTGTGTAAGGTGAAGCACAAACCAACCCCGACACCCATCCTTTCAACAGTGGGAAATGCAATATTACCCTCTGCAGGACACTTCCAGGAACAGCAAGCATTTATTTCTCCACAGCTGAGGATCCAGAGGACTCAAAAGTGTCCTAGCTTGAAGACGGCATCAAAGTAAATGCCTCGAGGCTGACGAGTAGCTTTATGAGAGAAAGACTATGGATATTCAACAACAAAGTTTGGCTTGCCACTCAGTTGTAATTTTTATAGCTCTGTTTGTTTCCACGTTCAGCGTTCTGCCTGCACGGAACATAAAAAAAGGATCATGCTGCGTGGTGCTGTCTGGTTATAATAAACAGGCTTACCGCTGAGGCTGGCTTTAAAGCAATGCCTGGATCACAGCAAGGATGCAAAAAAAAATCTCTAAATAATGGCTGACTTTCTCCTTCTCCTCATTGCAAGCTGATTCAAGTCCCCACTGGCATCAATTTGCAAAAACTGGCAAAATAAAACAACACCTGCACAAAACTTTCATATTTCATGTACATTTCTCTTCATGCATACAATTCCATAGCCTTTGCGCTTTCTAGAAAAAAAATCTGTAAAGTTTGTGCTTTCCTTTAATCATGCTTATAAAAATATATCTCTCTGCTTGCAAACCAGATCACCGAATTGTGAAAAGTGCAGATTCCAGCATGTTCTAGTTTGTAGATAAGTCAAAATTTCATTCCTCTCTTGTGGTATTGAAAGGGCTGTTCCCCTGGCCTCAGGTTTTGGCTCTGAAATTGGAGGGCGTGGGATGCTGTTGAAGTATCAACCACAACTCTCTCTTCCTGAAACAGGATGATGGACTAAATAGGTTTTTAGCCTGACCCTGCAGAGTTTTCCTTATAGTCTTCTATCTGAGTAAAGAGGCCCATGGCAAGACACTCTGTGCCCTTCCATTTTTAATAACATCATCTTCAAAGCATCCATTAACCAGCGAAAGCTTGCCTACTCCAACCCTAAAGAGCTTTCTTATTTTGCAGTAGTCATTTCTATCTTTCTTAGCTTTTTTAAAAAGTAAACACTGTAAGAACACTGTTTAATTTGCTTTAAGCTAAAAGAAATTAGCTTACAGAGAGAGAGAGAGAGAGAGAGAGAGAGAGAGAGAGAGAGAGAGAGAGGAGTTATTTTTCCAAAGAAAGTCTTTGTACTGCTTGGTTGCTATCGTCAGAAATTGCTTTATGGCTGCACCATCCTACCCTTGGAATTTGGTACCAAAGAAAGTTCATGTACTCCCCTAAAATATAGTGTTCAATGTCTCTAAAAGACTCTTCTGAATACCTAAATACCTTATAAAACTACAAATCCCAAGTTCTGTACTATAGAGGAAGGTTGTTCAATTCTCACGTGCCCTCGTCTCCAAATGAAAATGCCTTGTTTTTGTTCTTGCTTAGCGTATCAACAAGGGAGAAAGACCAAATTTCATGCATCCAGGTGAATGTGCAAAATTTAACAGCTGCCTTCCTGTATGAACATTGAAAGAGCTGGAGCATGGAACAGATTGTGTGCATCTGTGTGAACAACAATCCCTGTGTTTTTCTACTTGATCTCTGTGCATCGTCAGCTTCAGAAAATAAAAAGGTTCTCCACAAATTGTCCAGAATACAGTACAACAGAATGAGTAATTCAGAATAAGTAACTTAGTTCTTTATGGTCCAGTGAGAGGTGGACCATAAAGAAGGCTGGCCGCCGAAGAATTGATGCTTTTGAATTGTGGTGCTGGAGGAGGCCCTTGAGAGTCCCCTGGACTGCAAGGAGATCAAACCTATCCATTCTAAAGGAAATCAACCCTGAGTGCTCACTGGAAGGACAGATCCTGAAGCTGAGGCTCCAATCCTTTCGCCATCTCATGAGAAGAGAAGACTCCCTGGAAAAGACCCTGATGTTGGGAAAATGTGAGGGCAAAAGGAGAAGGGGACGACAGAGGATGAGATGGTTGGACAGGGGCATCAAAGCAACCAACATGAATTTGACCCAACTCCGGGAGGCAATGGAAGACAGGAGGGCCTGGCGTGCTCTGGTCCATGGGGTCACAAAGAGTCAGACATGACTTAATGACTAAACAACAACAACAGAATAAAAAGCTGGTCACTCTTTTTTTAAAAAAAATAAAATTTTCCTTATAAAGGTAGGGTAAAGTAAGGGACAGCTGGGATGGAGTACCCTCAGAGAGAGCGTGGATTTGAACAGACACATTACAAATCAATATTTTTCATAGTAATTCTATACATTCTCTTCTAGTAATAGTTCCACATATCATGAAGAAATATAAACAGTGAGTGAGAGGGAAAAATCAAATTCAGACAGATATACATATTGATTATGTATAGCTGATAGTCTTTATCCATCATTTATTCTGTCTCTTCTGCAGCCATATAGATAACTATGTGTCAGTCCACTATTCTATCCACTGTGTAACTGTTTATATAATTGTGACCAAATTTTCCTATGGTCTTTTTTCTTTTGCATCTAGTCAATCTGATAGTATGTCCATTTCTGCAGTTTCAAGGATTTTATCTATCACTTCATCTATTTGCAGTGTTCTAGGTTCTTTCCAGTGTTTCACAAAAACTATTCTTGCTGCTGTTATAATAAGAATAGTTAAATATGATTTTTTTTTCCTGAGTCTAGATAATATGAATAGTTAAATATGATTTTTTTTTCTGAGTCTTGTGTATCTGGCAAGATATTTAATAGGAACAGTTCTGGTACCATCGGTATTGAAGTTTCTAATATCTCTTGTAGCATCTGATTCACTTTACTCCAGTATCTTTGGGTATCTTCGCACATCCACCACATGTGATAAAATGTTCCTTCTTACTGTTTACATTTCCAACATAGATTTGAAATCTGGATGCTTATTTTAGCCAGTGTTGTGGGGGTCATGTACCATCCGTAGAACATTCTGTATATATTCTCTTTAAATACAACAGATTTAGTGAATTTTATATTTGTTTTCCAAATTCGTTCCCATTGATCCAGTTCAATATTATGTCCTGCATTCTGTGCCCATTTAATCATATATGTCTTTACCACTTCCTCTTGTGTTTCAAAATTTAACAGAAAATGATATAATAACAATATTTTTCCCCTCTGATTCTAGAAGAATTCTGTCAAAAGGGGATATTTTCTAAGTAAAAGCCCTGTTGATTATCTTTAGCAAACATTGATAATAATTGCGATCGCGCCCACCAATCCATTTCGATGCCTTGATCTACTAACGCCTGTTGAGTTTTGATAGAACCATCAAGATTTAAAACCTCACCATGTCTTATTATTTTCTTGTTTTCTCTCAGATATGGTAGAGCAAATGCTTCAATTAGTGTCACCCAGTGCGATACTTTGATATACCTTTGGTTTTTCACTTTATTCCACATCGACAGAAGTGCCTTCCTTAATATATGGTTGCTAAATTGTTTAAAATCACCAGTCCTGTCATACCATAAGAAGGCATGCCAGCCCCATTTCAAAGCTGCTCAGACTTGTTCCAGAGACAAAAATTCTTAAACTAGCCAGATATTCTTGAAAGGCTGTCCCGTAGTGTGAAGACAGCTCATCTCAACAAAGAAAGATGTGCAGGGTAGATGCAAACAGACATCATTCTGTCTATTCATAGAGACTCAGTGAAAGTCTGGAGGTAATTTCATGTTTTCCAACATCACAGGAATGTAGGAGCAGCACAGCTGTATGCTGTCTTAAGATGTGGTGGGGAAGACATTGAAGAGAGTGCCATCGATCTCATCAGGTGTTAGACACTGACCTGAAAAGTCCTAGTTTTGCTGGAACCAGAAAAGAGTTCAAGGCATTGGAAGTATCTGTGGTTCATTGAAGCCCAGCATCGGGGGAAGAGGGATATTTATTTGGTTTCGGTTTTGCACAAAAGATCATCCAAAAATATATTCTTTTAGCTTTCTCACTGTTCAAAATGTAACAAGGATTTTAGACCACACATGTGACAGCCATGCAATTGGATTAATAACCCTTCCTCCTGTCTGTTTTTTCAGGAAAAGATTACTTCAGAGAAAAAGTTTGTCAAGAATTCAACCTCATGGGAAAAGACAAGTTCCATACCGTGTATGTATTTTGAAGCTTTCCCACATGTTCAGCTTTGCTGGCATTCTGTGCAACAGCCAAAACACGGACTATTGACTAGTACAGGAGATATATACTATCACTTATTATTTCTGGGCAAAGGTGCTCCTGTTTTAGTTTCAAAAATACTAAAAGGAAGGCCTGACAGAGTCGGATCCTGAGCAGAAACTGGTGGATTAAGGCTGGTGGAGGCTGGTGAGTCAGAGATCCAGAGTATAATGTGGCAGAACATCATCTTCTAAAGTGGAAATGAGGCCTTACAAATGCAATGTGACAGAATCTAGAATCTATTAGGCTTTAAATGGCTGCTAGTGAGGGTAATGGAGTATGGAAACAATATAAATCATTATGTACTTGTGGAGTGGTGGAGGGATAAACTTTGAAGGAAATGTACTCATCACAGTAGTTTCTACAGTAAGAATGGGGAAAGTGTGGCCTTAAAACCACCTACTACTGCAGATTTTTGACTTTTTGGTAAAATTCCCCTTGTGATGCACAGCAGAAGTTCAAAGATTAACAGACGAGAACAGCTTCAAGTTCCCCATATAGTCCACCCCTTTCTCATTAGCTGGCACTTACTGTCTCAGTCACTCGCTCTGAGACTTTAGTAGTAGAAAGAATTAAACATTTCATTATTTAGAGTTGGGAACAGCAAACAGCAAACTAAACAAACAAATAAACGTACTGCAACAGGTGAAACAGAAGGAAAGAGGATGGAATGGAGGGGCAGGGCTCTCTTTGAATTCAAAGGCACTATTGGTAAGTGCTGGATAGATTGGCAATCACGCCAGCTCAGAAACGTCCCTTCCAGCCATACCTACCGCAGGCAGCATGCAAGCTTGCAAAAACTCCAACCCTGACAGCCTTCCAGACAGTATTTGTGGCCCCTGGATATCTCTCAATAAAAATACATTCTGTCTCCCCTCCCCACCCCCAGAAATAGTCAGTTTTCACTCCTGGAATTCACCAGAAGCAGTGGTTTAGAGTAAAGTCCCCAACTCGAAAGACACAAAAAGGAAATTGGAAGCAGGTTTGTAGAAATATTTGGGATTTTTTTTTTTCGTACATCAATCCCTGCTGGGTCCTGGTGGTGGGAAACTAGAGCCTCAGATCCTCTGAAGATTGTTCCTTAGCTGTGGCCCCGTATGAAGTCCAAAAACCAGGCAATGATATTGATCCCTTTCTGCAACAAGTACCAAGAGAAGGTTTTGTAAAGCTTCATTCTCCACTGGAAGCCAAATCACCCCAAAACTACTTTGTTTTACAATAACAGTACATTGCTAGCCGAACAAAATCTATTGTTGTCCAAGTCTTCTGAGAACTGAAGCTCACCTCAGAAGGACCAGAGAAGTTGAAGGAGGACAAGAAATCGTACTCTTTGCTCATCACACTCTCACCTTGTAAATTTGGGCTCCACTATGCTCCTGGGAAGGGACGTGATGGCACTGTGGGCTAAACCGCAGAAGCCTGTACTGCAGGGTCAGAAGACCAAGCAGTCATAAGATCGAATCCACCTGACGGAGTGAGCGCCCGTCGCTTGTCCCAGCTCCCGCCATCCTAGTAGTTCGAAAGCATGTAAAAATGCGAGTAGATAAATAGGGACCACCTCGGTGGGACGGTAACAGCGTTCCGTGTCAAAATCGCACTGGCCATGTGACCACGGAAGATTGTCTTCGGACAAAAACGCTGGCTCTATGGCTTGGAAACAGGGATGAGCACCACCCCCTAGAGTCGAACACGACTGGACAAAAATTATCAAGGGGAACCTTTACCTTTACCTTTACCTATGCTCCTGGGATTATGTTACCAGATAATTCAAATCTTGGGTCTTTGTATTACTGCTTTTCATCCCTTTTTAAATTGCCAACTTTTCCTTTAAAGGGATAGCAAGTTCTCCGAATCATTTCAGACTATTAAAACCCTTCCATGAAAACTCTTGTGGGTTTTTTTGTTGCTTAAAAATATGAATTTGCTTTCATATCTTTCATAAAGGAATTTCAGTCGTCATCTCCAAAACATACACAAGATTCTAACTGGATCTTTCACTGATGTAAACCTTTAAACAAAATAGGAAAGATGCTACCATCATGTTATTATTAGAAACAAGTTTCGTTTAAAGTGGAGCCTGTGACTCTTAATTAGAGCACAAAATGAACCACGAACCGAGTACCCCAACGAACCGGGTTGATTCACGGCTGGTCTCACTACCCAGTTCAAGGATCCTGTTTTGCCGAAGCAAAAAAGAGACACCGACCTTTTCTGCCTTGGGCATTTCATTTGCTTCAGCAAAGGGGGATCCCCGCCTGCCCTCTTCGCACTGCCCTCGTCGCTTCCAACTATCTGCTCCTGCCACCTCCGCCTTGGGTGGCATCATCATAAGCAACAGACCCGGCTTCCCTACCAAGAGCTTGTCAGTGTCTCTGAGCATGATCCCACAGTGGTTCATTTGTCAGGGTGGTTTGTGGTTCATGGTTAGCCATGGACCACAAACCACAAGTTTTGCAGTCTATGCTCATCTCTACTCCTAAGCTAAGAAGATGGGGGTATTTGTATAGGAATATGAATACCCCACACACAGGTGGCGTTAACAAGGGTCCAGCCCCATGGGGATGGACAGTTCACTCACCAATCTGCCATGGACGCATACAGCGGACAGTCCACTCACCAATCTGCCATGGACACATACAGCACAATTCTATGAATGGTGCCGCAGCGCGCAATCCGCTCACCACTCTTCGACCTTGCAGTGAGGCTTCTCCTCCCGCCTCTAGGAGTAGTGAGCAGATTGTGCACCGCAGAACCATTCATAGAATTGTTCCGTACATGTCCACTGTGAATCGGTGAGTACTGCCTCCTGCCAGGAGTAGTGAGCAGATCGTGCACTGCAGAACCATTCGTAGAATTGTGCCATCCACATCCGCTGTGAATCGGTGAGTAGACCATCTGGCTCCATAGGGCTGGACCCTCGTTAATGCCACCTGTGCAAGGATCTTCGTATACGAATACCCCCATCTCTAATGTTTATTCTTATTTTTGACCTCAATCTGGTGTTTCTTTTTTTAAAAAAAAATGTAAAGAGATTTTTCAAGGTTACATTAAACCTACTTATTTTGGAAAACAAATTAGATTATGAATCCTCCTCATAGATTATAATGACTCCCTCCTTTTTCTACGCAGAGCAATTGCCTTAAACAGCAAAAAATATTCCAATGCCACCTACGAGGAAGTCACCAACATTGTGACTGAGATCGTAGCCCTTGCAGAAAAATGCTGTGTGGAAGGAGCAGACCCTGATTGCTATACCACTGAGGTACGTTTCTGTAAGGCTCTTACATTCTATTCGGCTCCTGCCTTTCTCAGCTTTGATGTCATTATGAAATTAATGGATTATGATTATGATTATGATTGTTATTGTTATTGTTATTGTTAGTTATTGTTATTCTTATTGTTATTGTTATTATACAGGGGACTTTAAAAAAATATGCCTCTGTGCTTCAGATTTGCCACAATGCCTCAGAGCAATGCGATGTCGGGCCTTGTGGGAAATTTAAATGTTGGCTAAATCCAATTGTCTAATGATGCTGAGAGAGCCACAGCTAAAGCAGTTTTCCACTGCTGAGAAGCCCATTTAGCCCCAAAGGAAAAGAGCCTTTAGATGATGCTTGGCCTATGCCACGACCCTCCAAACTCTACAGCCAGCCATGTTTAATTAGGTAACCCTCTTGTTTGCTTCTTGGCTATGATTCCTTCCTGGAAACTGTTATTTGTCTCATTAAGGAAACCAGCTCGAATTCCTGCACACATATATGTAAACAAACACATATGTGTGTAGGATGTGAAGGACACCCATTGTATTCCTTCTACTCATCTATTTAATCATCTTCCTCCTCAACTCAATGAAAAAATTGTCACACCCTTAATAGCCAGCAGAAAATCAAGACAAGCAGTTCCCTTAAGGCCTTTGCGATTTGCACAAAACCTTTCTGTGCAAAATTAATTAAATTCATTAAAAAAAAAACCTTCCGTTTTATGAATGTTGGATATTGTGCTTCATCATTAAAAATGCCAGGAAACGGCCCAATATTGCTGCACAATATTGTGCCCGCGTTGCCAGCAGGAAAAAAGGATGCCAAGCTTTACACAGCAAAGGGCAGCCTGAATGTTGACAACACCCATGGCAGCAGCCAAGATGGTCTATTGGATACCCTCTTCTGCTAGCTACCATTCACAAAGGAAAATTCCAGAAGCTGACAGCTTTTTCCATCAGTTAACCCCTTCTCACCCAAAACTGTCAGGGCTGCTTTTCGACAAATGTGAATGGTAGTTAGCGGGTGATGTAATGTATCACCTGCACATTAGAGAGTTTTCAAAGAGGTGTGGGCACCTTCATGACGCAGAGATTGGGCAAAGACAGCCCTTGTTTAGTCCATTTTCAGAAGCAACATAACACTTAGTACTATTTGCTGGGGACGTGATGGTGCATTTATTAATGACTGAGAAAACAAATATGCAGAGTAATAGCACAGTATTACTTGAATCCCCTAAACTTGTTTGCAAACTTGGAGGTATGTTTCAACTGGCAGAGGCAGCTTCGGAGTGGCGGACTTTAAGGAGCGTCATTGTGTCGTTCACTTCAGCAGCAAAAAGTCTTGAACCATTCTCCCTGGGACAGTGAAATCACAACGAAAACATTAACCACCTCCGCCTGCCTTTCCCTCCCTACTCCCGCTGTCCCTGTCTCTCTTCTGCCCATCATCTCCAGTCTTCAGCCCTCTCAGTCAAGTCCTGCGATCCAAATGCTGTTTTCCCAAAGCATCCGGGGACAGCTGCTTGTTGTACTGAGGAAGGCTTGGCTCGGAAGCTCTGCCTGGCAGCCTTGAAACACCCACCCAAGGAGTTCTTCACATACGTTGAGCCCCAGAACGATGAGCTGTGTGAAGCCTTCAAGAAGGACCCCAGAGGCTTTGCAGATAGGTAAGTTAGAGATCGAGGTGCTCACTTCCAGTATCCCATTAACTGAAGACTAGACATGGGAACGAATATAAAAATGAACCAGGATATTTGTTAAATATCCCCGATTTGTCAGATATTCGTTGCTTTGTACTCTTGGGGTCCAGAGACCCCAACGAATATGAAGCAACAAATATAACCCTTTTAATATTTGCCCCTTTGTTCCCTATCTGCTTACGCTTCTGTGGATCAGCTTTTGCTCAGAGGAATTTTCCCCTTTGGGCGGCTTGCTTAGCAAGTGGAGGGGGAAAGCAGGGATCAAAGCAATCCTGCAATGCTTTGATCCCTGTTTTCCCCCTCCATTTGCTAAGCCCTCCACAGGAGGCTTAGCAGGTAGAGGGGGAAAGCAGGGAGCAAAGTGCTACGGGATCGTTTTGATCCCTGCTTTCCCTCCTCTTGAGGGAAAGCAAAAAACCCCAAAAAACCAAACAAACAACTGACAAATGACAAATTGATTTATCACAAAGGGACAAAGAGGAAAGGAAAATTCCAGAAGCTGACGGCTTTTTCCATCAGTTAACCCCTTCTCACCCAAAACTGTCAGGGTGATTTTTTTTTCTTCCTCAGGTTACTGGGGGAGCAATTCATGGTTCATGGGTTGTCAAGTCTGATGACCCATGAAGCAAGACGCGCTTCGTCCCCATCTCTACTGAAGACTCACATTCCAAACCAACATTTTGCTGTACTTTTCAACTGTTACAATGCATTTTTAAAAAAACAAGAATTTATTTCATTTCGCTTTATTCCAATATAAGGGCCCACAATGTCTTACAAAATGGTTAATAAATATGCATGGCTAAAACCTGAGATTACAATACAGTAAGACTCCCTTATCCATGGGATCAGTATCTGCTTATTCACTTATCCATAGTCTGAAAATATTAAAAACATTAAAAGAAAAATCCTGAGAACATGTATTTCCAAAGATGAAGTTATCAGAACAGGCCACTAGAGGGAGCCAGAGACCATGCTATGTATAACATTCGCTAGATAAATAGCATTTGCTATAATCCATGTTTTTCTACTTCCATGACGGGCCTTGGAACCCATTTAATTAGTAAATTAAAATATTTTAAAACAATTCAAAGTATATCATAAAAAGTTAAAAGGAAGAAACACCGCATTATGCTTTAAAGCCATTTCTTCAGCTGCCTGCTTAGCAGCCCAAAGCCTGTGCTTTCTGATGGAAGAAAACTGGAATGGAGGTCCATAAAATCTTCTTCCTTGCCTGAGAGCAAACACTTTAAAATTGATTTGATCCCTGCGAGGAGCTTAGCAAGTGGAGGAGAAAAGCAGCGATCAAAGTGCTGCAGGATCGCTTTGATCCCTGCTTTCCCTCCTCTTGAGGGAAAGCAAAAAAAAAAACCAACCAAACAATGCATTCCCACTGGAATGCATTGAAATCTGTTTAATGTGTTCCAGTGGGGAAGAATCGTTGTCTAGCGAAGATCAGCCATAGGAAAGCTGCTTTGCGAACCGCTGATCAGCTGTTTAAATAGCTGTCTTGCGAAGCTTAGGTCCTGAAAACACCCGTTTTGCGAGTGCGGAGGGAGCTGTCAAAATCGTCGTCTAGCGAAAATCGGATTGCGAAGCAGGGACCAAACATTGTCCAGCGAAATTCCCCCATAGGAATCACTGTTTTGCGAATCGCTATAGCGATCGCAAAACGTCAACGTCTAGCGAAAAAACTGTCATGCGGGGTAACTGTCTAGCGAGGTACCACTGTATTGGGATTAACAAAACAGCCTCCCCCGAAGATATTAAAACCCTGGGGAGACTCATGTGTTAAGATACAACCTGTTTTGCATTAGATGAGTGCTTCCCAGTCTTGGGTCCCCAGATGTTCTTGGACTACCACCCCCAAAAATCCTGGCCCGCACAGCTCGTGCTGAAGGCTCCTGCTAAAGGCTTCTGAGAGTTTTAGCCCAGGAACCACTTGGGCACCAAGGGGTGGGAAGGACAGCATGAGGTTCTGTAAGAAACAAGATCACCTTTGCCTGCTAAAGGCTTCTGAGAGTTTTAGCCCAGGAGCCACTTGGGCACCAAAGGGTGGGAAGCACTGCATGAGAAAGCACTGCATAAGAAACAAGATCACCTTCGGGATCATGTGGGACAAACATGAGAAAAAACAAGTACATGAACAGGATTTTTTTTTTCAATGAAAGACTATGATGACTAGAATTCTCTCCCCACTATGGGGAAAAAATCCATGAGGCGGGACACCTAAAAAAATAAACATCTCATCTGGAAGTCTCATCTGTGTACATTGGCGATAAAGCCCCCCAAGTCTGTTTTGCAGACAATTCTTACTTTACGTTGACTTTCTGGTTGAACTCATCGCACGCCACCTCCTTAGGATCTCTTCTGTGTTCCACTGTCTAGGTTCCTGTATGAATACTCCACCGACCATAGCCACACCCCAATGCCGCTGTTGCTGGCCTCTGCAACAACTTATCTGTCCATGGTTGGGACTTGCTGTGTCCATCCGCAACCCACCGTCTGCTTCCTGAAAGAGGTCAGTACCTTCCGTTCTTCTCCACACAAAAATGCCTCTCATGTTCTTGGCTGTGTTTCCCTCCCCCCAAAAAAAGCAAAAAGGGAATTGTAACTCAGCTTAACGGCAGCCCAAAGCAGAGGAGCAAAGACAAGATCAAAGGCAAGTCAAATGTGGAGGACATATTTGGGACCACTCAGCTCTGTGGCTTCAAACAACAAATGTAAACTCTAGATCCAAACTCAACTTTCCATCTGCTAAACTGGGCAAAAAAACCCTGCAAATTACTACCTGCAGGTGGTTAAAGCATGGAGTGGATTTCTGTGTCCCCGCCAAGCTAGTGGCAATGTTCAGGTCCTACAGAGAGGAGTGGCCAGTAGGGCCATTTGGAAGGCCTCCACTCAACCAAGTGTCATACCATCATGTATACTGAGAATAAAACCAACCAACTGTAGTTTCTTAGCTATAGAAAACTCTCCTTAATGGGCCCTCTCAGATTTGCTTGGAGCTGCTACTGCTGCTAAATATGAACCAAGAGATTTACCCAAGGTGAGGGAAGGAGTCTAAATCCGAGTAGACATGGTCTAGAGGGGCGGGGTAAAAATCCAATCAATCAGTCAATCAATCAATCAATATGGAGGCCGAACGACATTCAAGCCAGAGTAATGGGGGTACAAATGCCAACCGTGGATGACGTTACTCCAGTGCTGGCATGGTGTTCCAGTGTCACGCATTCTGCAGGTAAAAATCCAAGAGAGAGAGAGAGAGACACAGAGACACACAGATACAGACAGACAGACAGACAGAGACAGACAGACAGACAGACAGACACACACACACACACACAGAGAGAGAGAGAGAGAGAGAGACACTGTGTGGGAAGGTCCTGCCTCGAGAATGGAGGAGGACTTCTCCCTGTTTCGTGCGACCGATTTGTCCAGCTTTGTGCAAAAATGTACTCTTTGCCACCGCGAGGGCCAATCGAGAGCCACAGGAAACCTCAGCCGTCCCTTGCAGGTGGGGAGAAGAACATGCTGCTTCTCGTCCTCACCTGCCAAGGTGAAACAAAATTGAATCTTCGCATCCCTGCTGGGAGGGAGAATGGGAAATTCCTCATTTGTAATCCGTGACCGGAGGTGAGGCCAAAAAGAAGCTGGCAGGCTAAAGTGGGGGATGGTTGTGGGCCGTACGAAAGTATTCCTGCAACTGGTTTAATCTCTTCCCTTTCATTCCCATTTCATTTTGCAGAGATTGGAGCGGAAGCCTCTCCAGGGCCTTGTCCATCTGTCCCACAAAGCGTGTTCCCGGTATGAGTTGTTTGGGAAAGAAAAAACAACCCTCAGGTAAATCCTGGTGTGTCCTTCAGAACCACCACCTTGGCCTCTGACCCAGAGATAGCAATAGTTAAGAGGGAGATCTCTTTGGGCTCGAATAATCACAGCACAGAATCCTATTTTACTGCCACGTGTCAAGGGATGCTTTTAAATTACTATTCCCCAAAATGTGCCAGAGCTAAGGAACCCTAATTCTAAAGGACTTTCTCCCGGGTAAATGTGTTTGGAAGTCCTTTTTATTCCCCCACCAGGCTCTTTCCTCTTTTTTTAAAAAAATGAACTTTGGTGGAAACAGAATAGTTCTTTCCTAAAGAAATTTTTGAAGTGTGCAATTGGACTTCCCTTACAGGGATATTTGGGATTGGAGTCCCATTACCCCCTTGGAGGTACAGAGGTGGCTGGAATATATCCCTGTGTCTTGGGATCCATTGACTCAACAGGCTGTTTACTGGAAGCAGCAAAGTTCATTTTGCTAACCAAGCTCACAAGGTCCAAGCATTGAGCATAGGTGGTCCACATCCCAGACCACAGAGCGCAAAGGGCTCCTTTCCCCCCCCTCCAAGGCCCAAAAGACAGCCAACCACTCTCCACTGCCTCCAACCAGTCCCCCTCTTCCTCCTCCTTTGTCCCCTTCTCCTCCTGGCAATCCATGCCCCTCGTTCGCAGCCCACTGTTCCTCCATCTGCCCCTGCCCTCCCAGGGACCACCATTGAGTGACTTTGCCTTCAGGCTGCCCCAAAACTGAGGTCTCCTGATAGTCCACTGGAAGGCCCATGGAAGAGGTGGACCGCCCACTGGGAAAGGTGGAAGCATCTCTCTACAGGGGTCCAGTGAGTTGGGTTAGATCCAGGGGGCCCTGACAGACTGCATTTGCCTCAACCCCCCTCTTCTAAATTGTGTATGAAGAGGAACAAAATGAATCTCTATGTGTTCTTATTAGAGATGGGGACAAATCAAAAAATGATGATTTGTTTTGATCTGTTATTCGTCAAGGTTAACGGATCAGCAGATACAAATATACGAATATTCTTGAATGAATCAATGATCTGTCAATTTATCTGTGCTTTAAATGGCTATAACACTGGCCCCCGACAACCTAGAGGCACCAAATATGCAGGGACACTTCCCCAGACACTTTTATACAACTCCTGGAAGTTTAGTGAATATTGGATCACGGATCCCCGAGTTATGTAGTCACAGAGAGGACCCCCCAGGAAAGCTCCCCCCAGGTACTTGGAGCCTCCAGAGTCTCAACAGGGCTTCCTATGTCTTTCTCCAACATGCCTGCCAACTTTGGTGAAGATTGGATATCATACATCTAAGTTATTCACCCAAAAATTGGGTCCCCCCAGGAGAGTTCACCACATGGCACAGAAACCCATTCTGCCTATTGGCCGCCAATCAGCTGATCAGCAGCAGAAAGGCAGCAACACACACACACACACAGCCACTCAATACCACAGCCTACCCCACCCCTTCCCTTCCCTAACCTAGGCCCCACGCCACCCCACTCCCATTGGCACCCCCTTACCTTAATCTCTGCTGCCAGGTCTCCATCAGGCCTCAGAGCCACACATGTAAAAAGGGAGACTGCCTGCCCTTTGCAAAGATGGCAGCTGTGGCTTCATTTAGGGGAGGGAAGCTGCAGCTCCCATCTTTGCAAAGAGCAGCCTGGATTCCCTTAAAGCAGGCTAAGGGAATCCATCAAACAGGCTGAGTCCCCATCAAACAACGTATCAAATTATTGTGAGATTTTTTTTTCACTCCTGCCTGACAGTGGAAAGAGCAACACTTTTTTCAGAATTGGAAAATGAACAAATACATAAAGACTTCTGTCCTCCACCAAATTTGTACTTTCATCAAAAAGCTTTCATTTTGCAAGGGGGGTGGGGAGAACCTTGGATTTTGCATATCCAAGGTTTGGTGATGGTGGAAGCTGGTTTGCAAAAATATGTTTTTTTACACAAAACATAAGCAACCTTTCCAAACAAACACACACACACACACACACACACACACACACACACACACACACACACACAATGTTTCTAAATGTGAAAAATCCACAAAAATTATTGTAATCTTGCCTTCAGGGAATAAACTGCTGTATAAATAGATGGCATGCCCAATTCTTCTGTGATAACTGGAAGAAGGGAGGGCAACATGTGTTTCACTAGATAAGGCTGGACCATAACACCCATCAACTCTATCCAGTATAGTTTATGGTGAGGAATCATGGGACCTGTAGTCCAGCAACATATGGACGGCCAGAACATCTGCTATCTCTAACATCTGTTTAGCAGAACCAGGCCGAGTAAGGAAGCTAATCTTCTTTGTTTTTCATGCCCACCTCCAGCTATTTAATAACATTTACTCAGAAAAGCCCCAATGCTTCCTTCGAGGATGTCCTCTCACTCGCTGAAGGTGCGTCTGAGCTGCTCTCCAAGTGTTGTGACTCGCTAGAGGAGGACTGCCTCCAGAGAGGGGTGGGTATTCAAGTACAACAGGCATTTGTGATGGTGGTGGTTGGCCTTCTAAAAAAAATAACTGAGCCGTGTGGCTCAGGCTCACATTTCCCATCTTTGCACAGCTTGGAGGGTAACCCTTCCTGGAAGTTACCACTTGCGTTGCATATAAAAGTGAACGTTAACGGTGCTAGCTTCGCCTTTGTTGTTTTCTCTGTGCAGAATGTGTTTTTTTTTAATGCAGCAGAATTCAAATACGTGGATCTCCCAAAGTAGAAAATGGAAGTGAAGAAGAGGGACGAGATGTTCAGATTTCTTGGACTGCAGATTCCCTAATTTCATATTCTGGAAGTGCTCCCTGATTCACACAGACCATACAAACACCTAAATGTGGCTCGCCTGAGAGATGAGGCCTAAACTGAAAGGTTTAGAAAAGCCCGACTCGGCCTAGCTTCCTGTTCAGAAAGACATCTCCCAGTTAGCACTGGGGCAGGAACAGGAAGCTTGTTATGAAAAGGAATTTATTCATTTATTCATTTATACCCCACCTATCTGGTCATTTCGACCACTCTAGGTGGCTTTCAACATAAAAACATAACAAATATAAGAAAAAATGATAACAATTAAATAATGCTGATGGACTTACCTGTAAAAGCCCAGAAGTTCATGATGGGCTCTTATCTGGGTGTTTTCAAGAACCAACTTAAGACCTGGCTCTTTAGGCAGGCCTTCCCCCCTGTCACTACTTGAGCTTTACTTTTTTTATTTTAATTTACTGTTTTTACTTTTCCATTCCATATTGAGCTACATTATTATTATGTTTAAATTGTAGTGTAAAGTGTGTGTGGATTGTTTTTATCCTACTGTGTTGTAAGCCGCCCAGAGTAGACCCTGTCTAGATGGGTGGGATATAAATTTAATAAATAAAATAAAAATAATAAATAAATAAAATTATCTTGGGCAAGTGGATGGTCATTTGGTTGAGTACAAAAGAATTGAAACCCAGCCTTTTAAAAGTTAAGTAATGAACTCTCAAAACCTGAATGAAGAATTTCCTTGCACGGATGATGTTTCTTTTTTCAAAATCTCTGATTCCTTCTACCCCAAATTTGAAGAAATTTGCTAACTTCAGTAAAAAAAAAAATTTTTTAATGGAACTGAAATGAATTTTTTACCAATATCTATTGTGGATTTTATAAGAAAACAGATTCCACATATAAATTTTTAGATTTGAGCAAAATGTTTATCCCTTTGTCTCATATTGTTGTAGATGAAATATGAGGAGTTGCCTCCGATGGACACAAGCATTCTTCTGCAGATGCAATCATGCTGGATTCAGATCAGTCCTAAAAATCATTGCCAGTCTTCTGTTCTCCTTCCTCCAGGTCTTGGCACACACCTCCAACATCTGCAACAAGCTCTCAGCCCATGATGAAAGAATTCAAAACTGCTGCTCCGAAAAAAATGACCTGACGAAATATTTATGCATTTATTTCCTTCCGTGGGCGAAACAAGTGGCTGATTCTCAAGATACAAAGGGACCTGAGGAAGCCTTATGTGGTGAAGATAGAGAGCGGGAAATCTACCAGTAAGTGGGTCTGAGCCGTCCTCCTTTCCTGGTGGGCAACGGCCATAGGTCTGGGGCCCACTCATGCCCATCGCTGGAGGTGAGAAGGCTGGACCCCCTCCTGTGACCTCCCACTCTGAAATATTTTCCTCAGAAAAATGGAAGGATTACTGGAAAAAAAACATCATTTGCACTCAGGTGGCCAAACAGGTGTTCCGTAAAAATTAACAATTTGGAAAAGGGGGGGGTGGTCTCAAGTGTGGTTGGCAACCTCCTAAAACACAGTACAGTTGACCCAATCCCTTCTACAGAACACAAGAGAGCTGTTTCAATAATAATAATAATAATAATAATAATAATAATAATAATAATAATAATAATAATGATGATGATGATGATGATGATGATGATGATGTTGGCTTGCTTTTGAAGAGCACTTTGCTGAATTTTTGAATTGTTGTTGTTGTTGTTGTTGTTGTTATTATTATTATTATTATTTGCATTGCGGAGTTCAGAGGGGCCACACATGAGCTTTTGTGTGGGCTCAGATGTCCCCCATACCTGGGTATAAGTTGACATTTTTCACCATTTGGCGTGCTTATTAGTCATTTGCAATATCACCCCCATTTTATAGACACAATTTCTGGGCACTTTTAATTCTTACTCCATCCTTAGCAGGATGAGCAGAAGATGCTCATGTGCTCATTAATCATCTTCCCCCTATAATCTTGTATGGGGGAAGAAAGCTATCTTAGAAACATTTTATCTTGTACGGGGGTTAAAAATGGAAGCCAGAATTTGGGTTGTCTCATGACATCAATGTAAATGAGAAAATGCTGGACGAGCTCACCCCTTAGTTGTTATTTCTCTTTCTCTCTCTCTCTCTCTCTCTCTCTCTCTCGTAGGAATATCCATCACTTGGCTCAGTCCTTTACACATGCTCCAGAAGCTATTCTCACAATTTATTATGATATAATCCATGACATGGTGAATGCCTGCTGCAGCAGTCCTGACGTCCACGCTTGTTTTACCCTAAAGGTGAAAAAGGGTGTTCTACAAACTTTGTCTCGTTGTCTCTCACATAAGAGCTACAACCCCATGGCTTAGCATAGTAAGTCCCAACTAGGATAGGCCCATGGAATTCATGGATCGTAGGTACCCTAAAGGTGAAAAAGGGTGTTCTACACACTTGGTCTCGTTGTCTCTCACATAAGAGCTCCAATCCCATGGCTTAGCGTAGTAAGTCCCAACTAGGGCGGGCCCATGGAGTTCATGGATCGTAGGGACGAGTTGACTCACCAGATCCCCATGAATTCAATGGACCTGGCTCCAGTTGCAACCGACTACACTCAGGATTTCAGCCATTGTCTCATCACATCATATCAGCTGAGGAGGGCAGAGGAAGCCCCTGCCCTCTGCTCACTGGCACTTTTCTTGAATGCCTGAACAGCGCTTTTCTCACTCTCTGCTAAGGTGGAGCACCAAGGCACCAAAACTGAGAGAGGACCAAAATTTAGAGACAAACCTACTGCTAATGGTTAGAAAAAATGAACAGCAATGTTCCTGGCCCTTCCTTCCTTTCCCTTTCTTTGAAAGCAGAAATTTCCTCTTTGTCTTGATGGGACACCACATCCTCCTGTTCCATTTCCATGGGGATCTCATGCCCATGCCGATCCAGCTGCAGGTGGGACATGATTGTGCTTGCCCCAGGTGTGAACATAGCTAAAGGCCCTGCCGCTCCAACGGCGCTCGCTGTAACATCATCCCCTCCCTGATCCTCTCCAGCCCATTCTCCTCTTCTTATTCCAGCAGCACCTTCCCTTCTCTCTCTCTTAGCTAATTAGCAGTCATCTCAAAATTAGCTCTCCCTGGGCATTCCAAAGCTGTCCATTGCTTTCCTTGCATACCACCAACTACAGCTACCGTGTTGCCCACTATATTGCAAACTATTCTTAAAAAAAATTAGGTAACATCATTGCATAATTGTCCTTTTCCTCCCCTCAACGCCAGAAGCAAGAGAGAACAGTCGAGTTCCACGATTTGCTCTCAAAAGGAAATGCACTCTGCGCGGATTATACAGAACACCCTTTCCTTGAATTCAAGAAGAGGTGAGTGGGGATGCAAAGGTGTCCATTTGATTGTGTTTCTTGAGATCTTCCAACCATTGTTCCTTATCATACGCTGCTTTTTTTTCAAATATATGATTTTTTTGTTCCATGAATAACTTTGACTATAAAAGAGGAGAGAAATCACTAGACCTCAAATTTTCCTGGAGACTTTAGCCTGATTCAGGCATTACTTGGTGTGTTGATCAAAGGGGAGTCCATTAACTTCCATTGCCCATCTATCGTAACTTTCCTTATACAGAAAACGCTTATTCTAGACAGGATGGCTCTTTGCATCTATGGATCCCTTCCGCAGACAACAATCCTGATTTTCCAGGGTTCTTAATTTAATGGAAAGCCTCCATAGACACAGGAACCTACAGAGCCTTTACTTTTTGCAGAAGCCAAATAACACCAGAGAAGATGGAGGGATGGGCAACTTGGAGTCCTCCAAATCCAACTCCCACCATCTTTCACCATTAGGCACACCTCCTTGTGCTGGTGAGCATCACACACCAAAAACACCCAAATGGCCAGTTATTCTCTAACAATGGCTTTAAAGGTTCAGGTTCTGTTGCGGGGAATGCAGTTTGACCCAACTGACCTCACTATCTTCTCCATGTCAGGATGGGTGAAGTGGTGGGTTGGTTAGTTGATGGGTTTTGGGGGTTGGTTTTGAAGCTCGGGAAGGTTATGTTGTGGGTATAACTCACATCGTGCCTCAGGCTATGCTAACTGGGGGATTCTGGGAGATGTAATCCAAAAAGTGACTTCTCCCATTTCTGGTTTGCCGTCATAAGAATTAGCAGCATCATAACTGTACTTAACCATCCTTCAGGCTCAGAGAGAATTATCACAAACTGTTTACTACTGCTACAGAAGATGAAATTTCTGCACTGGTTGAGCGTAAGGCCACTTTTGCCTCTACTTGCTGTCTTTCGAATGCGCCTCCAAGATATTGCGGGTTGAAGGTAAAGCACAACCTTTCCTATGTGGCTCTTCAAGGAAAGAGCGTTCAGGGTCCTGGGTTCCTGGAACCATGCACAGGTGGAAAAACAGTTGAGGTTCCTAATTCCAGTGTTTCAGGAGTGTTGAATCTACTCTAGATTTATTCTGAACTCTATGAGAGCTATCCAAGGTTCTGAATCTACATTGGAGGTTGGATTCAGTGGCATGGATAGCTCCTGTAACGTTCAAGCTAAAATCTGAAGCAGATTCATCATTTCCACAAGATCACGAGCATTTACTTCTTGGGATTGCAAGATGCATGGAAAGCCTACACAGTCAGATGTGTATACATGTATGTTTTTCTTTGCAACTACCACACCAAATATGTCAAATGATGGGTCAACATAGCAAAAGCAATGGGGAGGGGCCAGTGGCATATTCCCAAATCCTCATGTTGTGTATGATATGTCTCTTCATGCAAGGAACATCTGTAAAAGGCTTAAGAAGCCATCGAAACCCAATAGAATTGGGAGGGGTGACCAACTTAAGTTCCGTTGATTTCAACTGAATTATTCAGTCTGGCTGTTGAGTTTCAGAAATATTTATGACAGACTTTAAAGGATCAGAATATATGTCCCTAAGCAAATCAAGGTGGACACGTCTGTTTGAGAGGAGCTATAATATTGCCAGAATACCTTGGTCCTAAAATGCAGGTCTCTAAAACAAAGATTTGCAAGCCACAACTCAAATCACCCTTCTCTGTTTCCCTTTATTTTCAGGTAAGAGATAAAATTGTTCACCTGTGTACCCATGATGTCTGTGTGAAGAACTAATCGTGAGGAGATTGTATGCAATTGTTTAAAGCTCAGGTAGGTGGGACGTCATAAAAAGTGAGATATCTGTGCGTGGATGGAGCAAAGGCTGAAGAAAACCTTGAGGGTTTCAAATAATTCTCACAGGCATGCAAAACCTGAACTATTTTGAGAGATAATTGTCCAAGTTTGGGGGAAAATATTTTGGGGTGACTACAAATGCCAGAATCCCCAAGCTAGTCAAGGGAATCTGGAAGTTCTAGTCCACAGATTAACTTTCCCAAGCTCTCAATATAATTGCGAATTCCACAAATATTAGACTTTTGTGGGAGAGGATTAGCTCTGATGCCTGCATTGAGCCTCCATATATAAAGGCAAGCTAGCTCTACACCAGGGGTTCAAGAGATAGAATTGTGAATATTGTTTTTTTAAAAATACACAGTTCAGCTTAGCCAAAGAAGAGCCAAAAAGAGGATGATTTGGGGTGAAATTGATGAGAAGATCATACATCTAGCTTGGAAAAGTTACTCTCCTGTAGCCCAACAAAGGCACAGGACCTGTAGCCCAACAAGGTAACTTTTCCAAAAACTTTGGTCTTGCAGAAATTAAGAGCATGACACCCACTGCATGCTTGCCCATGCAAAGTTGAAAGACCTGTATTCAGGTGACTATTGCACTTGACCTGACAGCTGAGTGATCTGTTTTCAAAGTAGGTACTGTACATACATTGTTTTTGTCACAGAGTATCTCTGATACTCTCACCATGGACGTGGTGGCATTGTGGGTTAAACTGCAGAAGCCTCTGTGCTGCAAGGTTGGAAGACCAGTAGCCGTAAGATCGAATCCACGCAATGGAGTGAGCTCCCATTGCTAGTCCCAGCTCCTGCCCATCTAGCCGTTCAAAACCATGTAAAAATGCGGGTAGATAAATAGGTACCACCTCGGTGGAGAGGTAATGGCGTTCCATGTCTAGTCGCGATGGCCATGTGACCACAGAAACTGTCTATGGACAAACGCTGGCTCTACGGCTTGGAAACAGGGAGGAGCACCGTGCCCGAGAGTCGGACACGACTGGACTAAATGTCAAGGGGAACCTTTACCTATCTCTGATCCAGTGCAAACTGTCTCAACCCTGACCAACCACCCAGCTACAGACACACTCCTAACCCATGTTTTCAATGAAAATCCCATTTATTCATTCATCGTCCAAAGTGGGGAAATGATCAAACAGGACAAGGAGAAGGGGAGAGAACATGGTGAACACTTTGATTTTGTTCCTGCACAAGTGTTTCTCATTTGCTAATGAATATGTCTTCTGCCTACATCACTGTAAGACCTCATTTTTGCTTTCTTATCTAGGTGCAACTCAAAGATAAAGAGGAGACCAAACACTCTAAGTCATCAGTGCTGATGAGCACCCTGCCTCCAGTTCCTATTAAGATCTTAATAAAGGCTCACATTCCTATTTCTTGGCTGTAATGATTTTAGTGGAAGAAGAAATCTTAACCTTTTCCAAGCCGTATCTCAAAATAAAGAGAAAGCCTTGTTCATTGTGTAATTGAGGGTTATGTCATTCATCCCAACTTCTACAGGTCATCAGTTTTAATTGCAGTTTAGTTGAGGTCTGAAAGACACCATCAATGTGCCTATTTTACAAACAGGATTGGGTCAAGAAAAGAATATTGATACAAATAACATAGATGATAGTCAATAAATTCAAAGCCCTGAGAAATAAATTAATGCATACATACATATACATATACATATGCATATACATACGCATATACATATGCATATACATATAGATATACATAGCATTAAAATGGAAGAAAACATTGGCAGACAGACCTACCTAAAGATGTATTTTTTAAATAAAATAAATATTTTTCCTTCTTATTTTGATTCAGAGCATGGAAATGATGAGTTTCAAATAATGTAACTCATTACCTTTACTTCATTTCTTTGGCGTCATGAGGGGTAGTGAAGTTAGATTTCAAAAGTAACGTAACATGTAAAAGCACAACTGTGAACCCAGTTACAATATTCAGATGCCTCAGAATATGTGGCAGTGGTTTTTGATTCGATTTCAAATCATGTGATAGTCACGTGGCATTTGAATTGCTGTCGTGGCCAAGCTCTCCAGATAAACAAGCATCAGGATCAACAAGAAGCACAAATGTGGTGTGTTTACAGGGGGGCAGGATGAGAAAGAAGCCATGTATTCACCATTTTTTTAGCCGTGATTCAAACCATGCTAAACCCAATTTAAAGGGAGAGGGAGTGTAATTTAGTAATGCCTTTGTGACGCTAAACAGTAAACCTGTTTCCTAATTTCCAGTTTTTAAAATTCAGTTTTAGTTGTGGTATTTCAAATTTTGGAAACATTATTGGGAGAGGCAGATTTGAAAGGAGACGTGAGATCATTAAGTTAATCAGAGGGGGACATGGATTTAAAAGAGAGAGAAAGAAAAGAAAAGAAAAAGAAAGAAAGAAAGAAAGAAAGAAAGAAAGAAAGAGAAAGAAAGAAAGAAAGAAAGAAAGAAAGAAAGAAAGAAAGAAAGAAAGAAAGAAAGAAAGAAAGAAATAGTGGCCTAAAGAGCAAGGTATCACAAAATATATTATAATTTCCGATGAAGTCTTTATCGTTGGTATGCTTAGTATTTTTTCCCCTGCAGATGGCAATGTTGCACCATCTGATACACAGTTGGAGAAGGAGCCCCACACAACAGTTCTTTAGAACCAAAGTTCATAAATCCATCCTTAACCCCACATGTAATGACAAAGAACTTCAACATCTTTCTCGTCAGCAAAGATGGCAAGAAACATCCTCCAGTTCTTGACCAAGTCCTTCTCCTCTATGAGAATGATGTTTTGCACAAGATTACTGTTTTTCCTATGTGTAACCCAACAATTTGTGTGTTGTAGGATTGTGCAACTGTGCAAATTTTGTAACAAACCTGGCTGCTGCTTAAATTAAGGATCTGGCGCGCTGGATGGGTGCTTGATGGAGACTCTGAGGAGGGGGGAAGAAAGATCCCTTGAACTTAAAATCAGCTGGAGGCAAGGAGGCTCACGTGGCTTTGAAACTTCTTGTTCACCTATAACTAGCTTAACAAACCCATAACGAAGACAGGGCATTGGGGACTTTGACCCCAGGCCCCAAACCAGAAAGAGTGCAAAAAGTTCTTTCTCTAAGTATTAGAATTGACCCACCGGTATTGATGCCAGAAGGGCGCAAACCTGCCTTCTCCAGTGGTATATCACCTCCCTGGGCAAAAGGGGGACACAAAACAAGCATGTCCTCGGTGGAAACAAAACAGCCATCAACGTGCTCAGACCCTGGTATTCTTCCTCATTCCTTGACCCCATCCTGGCATGCGCCCATCTCCTGTAACCCTATTTTAACCAACAGAACAGCAATGTCCCTGCACCCAATTTTAGTATTCTTTCATTTCCCCAGGACAATATGAACGTTTAGCAAGACTCTGACCCAATATCTGAATTATGGAGAGTGGGGAGCAGTCCTCTCACCTTTTATTTTTCCCTTCCCTTTTACTTTTTGCCACTGCTTTCTGAAAGCTGGAGAGCATGTGTGCTGTGTTATATATATATATATTAAATATCCCTTTCTCCAACATCTTCCTCATATTTCAGCCCTCCTATGACCCAGTGATGGAAATCAACGCAGTGCAACGAGAGGTCCTGTAATTTGCTGGAACTCTATTTATGTTAAGGGGATTGTCATTTAGGAAGAGTTCAAGAAATTTTGTGTAGTCATTGAGTAAAAAGGCTTACTGTAAGTTCCCTGTGAGAGCCAGTGCTCTACAGCAAATAGAGTGTCAGAGTTGGACTGAGGGGACCTGGGTTCAAATCCCCACCAGGCCATGGAAACTCAGTGCTGGTTGACAATGGCAAGTCACTCCCTGAACATCTCTGACAGCTCAAAAATTTGGTTGGGACCCCCATCAATAAGAAATATCTTGATAGTACACAAACCGGTACACACTAAGGGTGGTTACTCTTCCTCAGGAAGGACTCATGGGGTTTCTAAGAATAAAGTTGTTCTTTGGCTTATTTCTCATTCTTTGGCCCTGTTTGTGAACACTGCTTGATGACAGATGGAGAGGAGGAGAAGGACAGTTTAGAAAAGAAGGAGGGTGGTCAGTTTCTGGCCATGCAGTTAAAAATGGAAGATAAATAACTGTGGAAAACACTCCTGGAGAAAACCATAAATGTTCTTAAACTGGAAGGATTTTTTGCACATATGGATACATTGGCATCTCCACTGAGCTTGCAGCTGTTAGAGGAGACTGGGGTGAATTGGGAGAAGTGTAGAGGATGAGTTGACAGCTACCTGGCACAAAGAGAAAACTAATAAAATCAAATCTTCAGTTTTTCTCCGTACAGCACTGAAAATATATTTCTCCCAGTTCAACTTGACATTTGTTGTAACAGCATTTGGGACTTGCTGAAGTCATTGATCATGCACACCCTTAGCAAAAGCTCACATTATCATCTCATTCATGGAGGTATCCACTCCCTCAAAATGGTCCTAGAACAGTGATTCCAACACTTGTGTTCCCAGATGTTCTTGGACTAAAACTCCCAGAAGTCTTCACCACTAGCTTTGCTGGCCAGGATTTCTGGGAGTTGCCGTCCAAGAACATCTGGGGACCCCAGGTTGGGAGCCACTGTCCTCATGTATGGATTTATGATAGACTTTGGCAGCAGATGTGATTCCAGAAGGGAGGCAGAGAAAACTGTAACATTCAAATGAAATATCAAACATACCCATTTTTGAATTCTCTCCCTCATTGATTTCAACTGCTAAAAACCTGATGAAGAATGTTGCTTGTAGCACACAGCATTTAGTCTCAATTTTCATTGGTCAAGTTGCCTCATGGAAAGGTCTACCAAAAATATGATCAAGAAAGCCATTGATGGGAGTGATGACATTTTCAAGTCTACACTGATTTACAGTATCACACCATTGAAGAATGATTCATCTCTTGCCCAGCTCTTAATGTGAAGGCAGACTAGAGCTAGTTTGTTGAAAGCTGAAAATTTTCTCCAGCCTCACACCATTGCTGGTCCAGTGAGAAGCAAAGAAGTCCAGAAGCTGAAACGAAAATAATATCATATTGAAAGAACAACCTACATGCTTCCAGAAATTAAATTGAGAGACAAGATTTGTCTCAGAAATTATTCTATGAGCAGTCAGGACAAAAAAAAAACCCATCTAGTCCTGGAACAGCTGTCAAGATATGATATTTTTTGTGTGTGGAGAGTTAAAATTATTAAGAGGGTGTAGAAGAAGCCACCCTGAAAGTGAAAGTGGTTTTAGAATTGAGATTTGAACAATAGCTTACTATAGTCATTGCAAAACAATCAGCTCTCCAGTCAAGCGAGCAACATAACATTCCATTATGTTGCAATGTATAAATATGGAGGTGGTCCATATAATTTTCACTTTTGGTTTTTCAATTTTCTGGTGTTCCAGAACCTCAGGACATGAGATCATTTATGATACAGGCCTTTATTCCTCAGGCTTTGCAAAACATTTTCATATATTACTAATGGATCAATAAATCAAAATGCATAGATAGGATTTGTAAGTGTATATATGGTTCATTGGTTAGAGTAGTGGCCTAAGACTCAAGAGATCTGGGTTCAAATCCCCACTCAGCCAGGAAATTCATCAATCACTTTGGGCCAGTACAGCCTCTCAGGATTATTATGAAGATAAAATAATTAGGAGGGGAATCATTTATGACACTTTGACCTCAATGCAGAAGAAGCAGGATCTAAATGCAGCTCATAAAAATAAATATCAATATTGTCTGATTAGGACTAAGGGAATTGACAGGCAGAAACTGAGACCATGACATTTAATGTGAAAATAATGATGTCACAGTTTTCACCTGTGGAAAGCTGGAGGACACCAGATTCACTCCAGCAGACCTACCTCCCAGGGTTGTTGTCAAGATGGTGGCATTGGAAGGAGGAAAGCCTTTAAGTTCTTCAGAGGAAGACAAAGTGAGCAAACTGTGATTCAGAGCAGGAAAGGAAGTAAAAACAGACATAGATTTGTGGTTATCATCCGGAAGAGCTACAAGACTATTTCTAGAAGTTCCCAGAAATCCATTCCCATTTCCTTCACAACAAGGAAAGATGGTTTAATTAATTGTGACCCACAGACCATTGGCATAAGCAGGAAGGGAGGGGAGAGACAAGACCTACTGAGGTTTGATGTCAATCTTACAATAAGCGGTCAATTATGTGTTGTGTGCATGTGATACACTTGAAAGCTTGGGGAGCAAGAGTCTGAGAAAGTTTCAAAGGACAGATTTCCATCCCTTTAAAGATTAAACCGGAGAGATCTGAGAAATGTCAGCCTCTAAAAAGCGAAGCAGGGGATGAAGAATATGAGGCCACCCTGGGAAGAGGAAATGCTTGGCAACAAGGCTCTTAAATGCTTGCATAAATCATTAAGGTGCCAGAGAAGGTACTGCTCAGAAAAATCACACAAAACATCAAACCTGATTTTTAAAAAAATTA